AAGAGAGCGTCTACACTGGCACGGATGCTCTTGTGCAAAAGCACATCTTTTGCGCAAAGGCACATGCCAGTGTAGACACTCTCTTACTCAAATACTCTAACGCAAAAACTCTTGCGTTAAAGAGTATTTGTGCAAAATCTTGCCAATATAGAAATAGCCCCAGCGTAAATAGGCTCTCTTGAAGTTTAGCTGGGGCTACTGCACCAGTATTCCCCCTCCTGCTTGCATGATCCAGCAAGCTCCACTATTCTAGGCTTACAGTTGTCACTTCTCTTCAGCAGAGACCCATGTCTTTCTTCTTCCTGACCAGTGTTTTTACAGGCGTATTTGTGCAAAATCTTGCCAATATAGAAATAGCCCCAGCGTAAATAGGCTCTCTTGAAGTTTAGCTGGGGCTACTGCACCAGTATTCCCCCTCCTGCTTGCATGATCCAGCAAGCTCCACTATTCTAGGCTTACAGTTGTCACTTCTCTTCAGCAGAGACCCATGTCTTTCTTCTTCCTGACCAGTGTTTTTACAGGCTGCACAGTTCCTTTCCATACTGTTATTCCTAGCAAGCCAGGTGGTCTAAATAGACACCATTTTGCTTTCTGTCCAAAGGCTATACACAGCATCATTGTTCACAGTTAGAGGTTACCACGCTGACTTTTCTAAGAAACCACATCTATTCTTAAGGTAAAAGCGTTACAAAAATATGGAAAATAATAAAGAACTTACCCACATGCAAATAAACTTTCCAGAGATAACCCCAACACCAAACCCAGGTTCTGTCAGTTGTTGGTCCATTCAGCCATTCCTTAAGGATTGCCTCTCTTTTGTTTGTTCCATCTGTTTGCTGGCCTAGAAAGATGCCTCTGAGTCAATTTAATCTCAGATTATTTATACAAAAGTCCTCTCTAGTCTGGGACACCTGGGACCTGATGGGTGCTGAACCTGAGAATTTGCTGAACCATGGGAAATCAATACTGTCTAGAAGCATTACCAATACTTCCATTGCTTATGGGCCTCTTTCAAGACACTTAGGGATAAATTAAAGCTAACTAACAGCATAGAACCTTGAGAGACAGGACTGGTGGGTATAAACAAACTTTGCAGGACCATGGGAAACTTGGCCATAACTGTGATAAGTGAACATCCAACTTACTAAAATCATGCCAGACCACAGATGTTGCTGGACTATCGAGTGTGGACTAGAGAAGTTCAACCTGTGCATATCTGGAGATACAACTTGAGTGAATTTGCCCAACATTCTCCCAACACACACACACACATACACACACACACACATTGTACTTTGTTTTTGGAGGGCTGTGTCGGGTTGCCAGAAGTCTGGTTTTTGCCTGGACAGGTGGGTATTTTGGCCTTCCGTCTGGTAAAATAAACAGAAAATATTGGACATTTTATATGTCTGGTATTTTCTGTTTTCCTTGGACAGAATACCAGTGGCATCTGCAAGGGTGGGAGAGTGAGGAGCATGGTCATTTAAAGGCGCAGCAGCTCAAAAAATGGGGCAGAAGCAGAGGGAGAGCAGAAGCAGAGCAAAATGGGGCTTGCAGAAGCAGAGGGAGAGCAGAAGCAGAGGGAGATATGGCTTCCCTGGGGTTGGGGCCGGGTCCCTGCTCTGCCTCCCGTCCTCCCCGTAGTGCTGCACTAAGTTACAAAGGGAAAAGAAACTTGGGGAGGGGAGAGGAGATTCTCCTGAAATAAAAGTGAAACTGGCTCTGCAAGACGGTGACCAGCCTGGCTGCTTGGTACTCGCCAGGCATGGCCAGGGAGGCACCGTGCCCCTTCCCAGTGGAGGTGGAGGTGGACTGGAGGGGGGCTAGGGCTCCCCAAGAGCCTGCAGAAGAAACTCCTGTGCACAGTGATCTGGAGTGGGGGAGTATGGGATCCAGGAGCGGCCCAGTCAGGTCCTGGTTTGCTTCACCCATCAGGAAGGTGTGGGGAGAGTCCGGTTGCTTGGCTGGGTCTCTAGTTTGGGCCACAAATGCCTGATCGAACACATGTGACCAGAACCTGGGGAAGTGATTGTCCCGCAGGGCATGAAAGTCTCTGGTTCAGGGCCCCTCTCTCGCCCCAGGAATCCCTCTCAAATGTGCCCCTCCACCCAATCTCGCCTGGGAGCCAGTGCTGCTGTTCCCGTGGTAGGAGCAGTGTGCTAGCCAGGCCTTTGACTGAGGAGATAGATGTAAGAAAGGCCTGTTACCAGATCCTGATCCAACAAAGCATTTAAGTATATGCACAACTTTAAAACTATTTTCACATTCCTGAAACTGAGAATGTGTTCACTATTCAAGTCCTGAATTAGACCCTTTTTGAAGGATCAATCCCTGATCATTCTGAATGAAAGGGCAGAATGTAAATAGAAATTACTGGCTTTGTTCATACCACAGAATTTCACAAGCTTCTTTTAACATTCCTGTATTATTGATAATAACAAATAAACTACCCACTAAAGATAAGCTATTCCTATATCCAGTACTGTTCATAAAACAGATGGACATGTGAATCTGAGGTTGATAGTTTTCCAGATTCATTATTTTTTCAGTGGATGATTAGAGGCAAGAAATATCTGTTTGTAACAAAGAACTTTCTCAATCTAAAGACTAGCCTTGTATGAAAATCAGGTGGTCTCTTACTTTAAAGAGTCAAGGGTGTTCAACAGGAACATTTTCAGTGCAGTATGAAGAAGTTTCACACACAGTTTTTGTTAGTAATGGGAACTATGTATATAAATCCCCTTAATTGAAAATTAAACTTTTTTATGTTTTGGAAGGAGAAAATATCCCGTTTTATTTGAAAAATTTCTTTAAAAAGTGAAAATTGGTAGCAATGTATGTAGCTAATGTAGGATTGACATGCCCATCCCACCATATGGTTCTACAGCTAAACCTCATCACAGTTCACAATATTCTGATATTTCAGCCCCGAGAAAAGTCCAGATTTGGAAAACTGATATAATTTCTCACTACAAGACTTTAAGGGTGAAGAAGTGTGTGTCATGAGCCATTCAACTTACAATGGCACAATAAAAATACCTTGGTTTTTATTGAAGTCAGTGATAGAAGTCCCACTGGCTTCATTTGAATCAGATATAGGACGACTTTTAGCATGTTTGGTAATCTTATTTATTGCATATAAAATTATTTGCCTTTTCTCATAAATAAGATGAATATTTGCACAGTAAAAGAAATGAGAAAATTTTATAAAACTTATCTGTGATGTTCATTTTGCTCATAAGAGTAGTTAATTTTCAATTCAATGTCTTTGTAAGTTTCAATAAGTTGTACAAAAATAAAATAAAGGTTTAATAGGAGTTAAATGAGATTTTTCATTTTTGTGATAAAATGATCAAGAAAATGATTGTATTTCATTAGTTACTGATACACATACAATTGTAAGACTTTTCAGACATTTTTACCATTTTAATATAATTTTAATATACTATAATTAATGAACCATTATTTATCTCATTCCTAACATTTTTCTTTCTTCCTTTACAGGGTCCTCCAGGAGCAGCTGGTGCTGAAGGCAGACAAGGTGAAAAAGGTGCTAAGGTAATGAATACAAGAGCTTGTGTTCAAAAGAGTGAAATATAAAAATAATTCCAAAAACTAAATCTTGCTTTTTCCAAGTTATATATTATACATACAATATGTGACATTTTAAATTAACCAAAGTAATCACAGTTAAGTTGTAAATAACTCAGTTAAAAGAGCCTAAAAATAATATATATGCTGTAAAATTCCTTTGCTTTAATAGGAGGCAGTTCAAATGTGTCCCTTTAGCAGGAAACTTCTAGAGCTTTTTGATGGGATTCTGTGTGCACTCCTCACAAAAGCTGAGCAAGATGATCTGGCTAGTGCACAAAAGAAGGGGAGAATGTGTGTCCACCTTATAACCTTTAGAATAGTCTATCACGGTTATCAGCCAGGGGCCAAGTTTGTCATCAGGGGAACAGATTCAGACTGTGATAATCTCTGGTAAAGGCAGTAAAAAGCTCCTTGTGACCTTGTGTGAAACTGTCTCATTTGTTGTAGTCGGCAAGAGTAAGTCTCAGGTCCGACACTGGGTTCCCAAAGTACAAAGGATGCCACACAGGTATCTGTCAAGCACAAACAGTTTATTTCTTGACAGCTAACAGCTGTGCCCGATAAATGGAAGAACAATACAACAAAGAAGTGGTATATCTTATATCCCTTTCCTGCACTACACTTGTTCACCCATACAGAACCATGGATATTCAACTCCATTAGTGATCTGACCTGGTATACACTTCCTTTTAGGGTGAACCTGGTTCAGAAGGTGCTCCTGGAAAAACAGGGCCAGTTGGTCCTCAAGGACCTTCAGGAAAACCTGGCCCAGAGGGTCTCCGTGGTATTCCAGGCCCTGTGGTGAGTTCATTGAATACACAGGAATATTTTTATTTTTTCTATCTTGCATATCCCCTTTGTAAAGAATCTTATTTGTTTCTTATAGGGAGAACAAGGTCTACCTGGAGCACCAGGTCAGGATGGTCCACCTGGTCCTATGGTGAGTATCCTTCTTTCTAATAAACTTTAAAAAACAACAAATAGTTTGGTAGCACTTTAAAGACTAACAAATCATGTAGATGGTATCATGAGCTTTTGTGGGCACAGCCCACTTTAAATTTAAGATTATCCTGTATAGACTAACTTGACTACCCCCGAAGCTTCTTTCTAATGTTATATATAGTCATTTTCCCCAGAAGATATGCCAAGATACTAATGGTCCTCAGTAAAGGATTTGCCCTCTTTAACATATTGGGGGTTACAACAATGCTTTTGTTTCATTAGAATATTGAATGCCTGCTTTACAGCTGTGTTATTCAGTTCTAGAGCAGAGCAACTACACTGGAGTCAGTAGATTACACTGGCACACTACTGGAGTAACACAACAGGGTATCAGTCCCTGAAACCTCCACCCAATATTAGAATAAAAGCCAACATATAAAAGTGCAAGATTGCACATTGTCAAAAATAGGTTTGACCTCAAACAAGCACCAATGACCGTGAGTCCTTATGGTCTCCATAGCAGTAAAAATCACGCACACAAAATATCTGTTAAAAGAACATCCTTTCCTTGGCACTGGTGATTTCAGTGCAGCCTCTGCTTGTAATGGAAGTAATGTAGGCAAATGCAGCTCCTTGTGCAAAAGACTAAAGGGTTTGGCTAATCACTGAAAATTCAGAATTAGTGTCAGTGAGAGGATGGGGAAGAGCTATACCTAACCAGATTTTAGGATGGCTTTCCCAGCAAGGCAGAGTCAGGCTCCATCTTTAATTATCTATGCCTTGCCCAAGAAATAGTTTATGACTGAGTTTTTCAAAGGGGCTTGAGGGAATTAAGCATCCAGCTCCAACTGAAAGTCAATGGCAGATGGACACTTTAAACGGGACCTTTAAAAAAATCTCATCCTAAAAGGCTATCTATCAAAGAAGTGACGGGTGAGAAGTACAAACTATACAATGCATCTTCAAGTCTTCATTTTTTATATTGTGTAGCAATCTTCATGTTGTTACTTGCTTTATTTTCCCATTCTCTTGTCCATTTGGAAACTACTACTCCACCTTGTCATAGTCTCAGATGTATCCTTGGGACTGCTATAGTATTTGTCATTATTACTCCCCAAGCCTTTAAGATTCAATGGGAGGATATAATTTGGAAACATGACCTACTGTATTAACTGCTGCTCATGAAAGAAGCCAGCTAAGGCTGAAATGCATTGTAGGAGGAAATCAATAAGCCTTTGTAGCTTGCTACACAGTTATCCTTCATGAGGAATTGTTGTGTTAACTCTTTAGCTAATTCTCAGAATATACTTTCAGTTTTATGGTTACTTCAGAACAGCTTATTAGGCATCTAACTATGTTTTATGATTGTAATACTGATATGGCTGTAAATTAAGGAACAAATGCTTCACAAATTAATTCATATACTTGTCTAATCACCACAACCAAAGTAATATTTAAAAAAAACTTTGGTTATTGCTGAGAGGTATTTAATTCTCCTTTATCTCTTAAAAATGGCTCAATGACCATATGAATATTATTGCACATAAATAATGAAGGCCAAAGGAAAGGAAGCACAAACAATTCCTTGTAGTCAGTGGAAGTAGTGACATCATTTTCTAAATAAGTCCTTAATGAAGAATAGAAAAATTAATATATAATGAGGAATAAGTTGCTGCTGTTCTCAATCCAGACTTTAATTATCTGTAAAATTTTAAATCTATAATACCTGACCAGGTCTTTCCAGCTAAGTAAAGACAATCTGGCTTTAAGACTTGACAAAAGTCTTGCTTACTAAAATAATTGAGTTGAGATTCTTCTTACTACGTACTACTCTTACTACTTACTACTCTTCTTAATCATTATTATTCTGCAGTCCTGTAAGGAATTTTATATATTAACCACTCCCTCCCATTCTGAGAATGGGTTCAGAAATGTGCATGGTGGGGAGGGAGAAAATAGCCCGGGGAAGACTGAAAGATTGGAAGAATCCAGGACTTGCTCTGGCTAAGGCTTTTGATCAGGAACAATTCTGAGAAGGTCTAAGGTGATCCTGCTCAGCTGGGAGGAGGAGGTTATAAATATTCTGATGCTGGATAGGTGTTTAATACATTTCCAGCATGACATGTTAGGGTTGAAAGCTTTGAAATAGAATATGGACACAGTCATGGTTGAGTGAAATGAAAAACCAAGTGTCGAGTTCTCAAATGACACACAAGGACATGTCCAACTGCTGTCACACATTAAATAAAAAACATTGTTTCTATTGTGGCTGAAAGTTTTAACTGATGCTGATATGCACAATAACAACCATATCACATCAAGATGCTGGGGCTGTAAGGGGCAAATTCAGTCCCTTCTGATATTCATAAAATGGTGTGGCTCCACTCTGCATGGATGAGAACGCTGGGTGAGGGTCAGAAAGCAGGAGGAATCTTCCTTACCCTACTCTTCTAGTATGCAGGCAGGGATAACTGTTCCTGCTTATGCCTTAGGGCTGAAGTTGCTTCCAAAGATTAACTATACAGCTTCACCACATGTCCTTTGTAAAGAGGATTCCTATTCCACTTCCTGCTTGCTTCCATAACAGCTGCAGAATGTATCATCAGGTTCTCATAGTGAATTCAAATGTGGTTGAGAAAATGTGCTATTCATCATCTGAAATAAAATGCTTCCTGAATAGGTCCTTACTTTCATCTCTGAAACACCTTTTTACTTTTTGTGTGTGTAAGTTAAGAAGAATTGTTTTTTTTTTCTTTGATTGGAACATTTTATGGGCAAATACCAATTGACCAACATAGATTTTGGAAATGTTCAAAACCTATTCTTTTACCCCATAAACAAGAAAGAGTTTCAGAATATGTCTTTATATTTTTTTCAGGATTAAAAATATTTTTCCCTGTGGAATTTGTATTACAGTATCAATTAGAGCGTCCAAGCAAGATCAGGATCAAATTACTCTAGGCACTGCACATACACATTAGGAAGAGAGACAATTCCCTCCTGAGGAGTTTACAATCTATATAGCCAAGACAAAGAGTGGGAGAAAGACACTATTGCTATCCCCTTTGTGCAGAAGGCAGATCAAGGCCCAGAGATTAAATGAATTGCTCAAGGTCAGTTAATTAATCTGTGGACGAGTCTGGAACTGAATTCAGATCACCTTCATCCCAGCTCTGTCCCTTAATCAAAGAACAATCTTCTAAAGCAAAAAAGCAATGCAAAATTACTTTACATTAAAAAAGTAGCAAAAATGTCCCATGAGATATAAAATAAATGTATAGTTAAAAGACCTCTGCTGAGGCTCTTTTTAATGCCCAATTTCAATCAGCAGCAAAGTAATATTAATGAGTTATATACCACTGAAAATAAGTGTTCTGGATTGCTTTTTGATTAGTTAGCTCTAGTAAATCATTATATTTATACAGTCACATATGAAAACTTTGGTTCACATCTTAAATGAAGTTCAGAAGCAGCAGTTGCTGAGTTTAGGTTGCATCCCCCATGGAGTGCAGTTGTGAGAAGCATGCCAAAGTAGATATGCAGCAGAGTACAGTGCACTGCAGGTGAAAATGTTTGATTCTCTATTCCAGAAGCTTAAAAACTTATCAACCCTGTTTTCCTTTTCCGTTTTTATTCATGAATTATGTATTTGACTAGGCTTTTGCATCAACTGATATCCTGAAGTAGAAATAAAAAAGGTACACACCAAATAACATTTTGTACATGAAGAGTTATGGCACTTCTAAACCTGTGCCACGTTAAAAGTCACTTATGACTGCTATCCATATCATAATGCAATAGTGCTGAACAAAGAAAGTCTGGGTCTAACCAAGGTTACACAGGAAGTTTGTGACAGACCAAGGAATTAAACCCTTAGCCCTGGTCTACACTAGGGAAGTTATTTCAAAATAACCACCTTATTTTGAAATAACAAGGCAAGCATCCACACTACCAAGCCTGTTATTTCGAAATAACGGGCTGGTTATTTAAAAATCTATGCCTGCTTTCCTCAGAGAATAAGCTTTTTTTGAAATAGTTATTTCGGGAGTTTGTATTTCAAATTTAGTTAATTCAAAATAATTTCTCAGTGTAGACAGGCCCTTAGCTTCCTACACCCAAGGGAGCCACTAACATAGAGTGGCTCTCAGACCAATGGGAAAATAGGGGAAAATTAATAAATAAAAGACGCCAGCTAAAGAATCTGCAAGACATTACTGAGCTGTACTACCAACGTAAGATAATTAGGAGGTCTCTTTACCACTGTATCATAACAGGATAGGGATAATAAATAACAAGCGTAATTGGAGAAATAATGAAAAGCATGTAAAGTGGCCACTAGCAAAAGAAAGATCAACAACATATAAATTAAAAAACGTGTTTAACCATCACATACTTCACTGGGTATTTTCAGTGCCACGTGAAGACTTTCAATTGACCATTAAAGAGCTCTTTCCTTATACATTTCTGGTCACGTTGTCCCTCACTTCCACTTCCTAGTCCTGTCAAAATCAGCTACTCTATTATTATAATGGGTCAGAAGTGTTTCTTTTAAACATATACTTAAAGAGTATCTTGTGCCCTAAGTTGTACACATAGTCCATCATCAGCCATTGAATGTCACTATCCATGAACTTACAGAACTTTTATGATTTTACATCAATATTATGAGTGCATCATGTACAGAATGTCATGCCATTGTAAATGTGTGTTTAACACTATTTCCATTGATCTACTTAGGGCCCCCCTGGCTTGCCTGGATTGAAGGGAGACCCAGGTTCCAAGGGTGAGAAGGTAGGTGGAAATTTCTCCCTTTGTGTCTCAATTTGAGAGAGGCTCCATAACTATCACATTAATCTAAAAGCCACATCCTGGCAGAGGGCCTATATTGTTGTATATAAGATGTCCTAATGACATGAAAGCAAGACAGGTGAGTGGCACCCCTCAATCAATTCACTCCTGCCACAATAGTAGTAATGAAAATGTAGACCATGTCTTCCCATCCCAGAGGCATTCAGAAAGAAAGCAACAGTCATTGCTTGGAAGATAAATGTATTGACCTTTGCTTTTCTCTGTAATTAAGAACCCACAGAAATCCATAGGGGACATGCATGTAGTTTCACAGATGAGGATAAGACATATTAGCATTTTATATATAAAAAGTCACAAAATATAGAACAAGTGTATTTTTCTGTAGTGTGAATTAATAGCAATAATGACTTTAAAGGCATAGGGTAGGCTTGCCAAAGAATCCTAAGGGAAATAGGTACCCAAAGTCCACTGATCTACCAGGGCAAGAGGAACTGTATGATAAGAGAAATTATTCAGTATGAAGCCCGTTTTGTTATGAGTTTTGTTGATATACATGTATATTACATATTGAAGTGGTTTAAAACTCTACTTTATTTTGGAACATTTAAATCTTGACAAGGTTGTGAAGCCTATACTGACAGGTATTGTTATTTCTGTATTGGCTTCTGTAAGGTCCTAGTACTTAGTACTCACCGATTTATTTTTCATAGAATAACTAGTTAATTCTGCAGGTAATTTTTAAGCATAAAAATCAGTCCGCAAATGCATGTACCTGCAGAATAATTGAGTGCCTACTGTTTTTAGGATTTTTCAGTGATGATTTTTCAATACTCTAAGCTATCAAAATATATTGCTAATTTAATTTAGATGCATTCATAGTTACATACCTTGACCTTCAATCTTATTTTTCTCTGGTTCTTTTCTAGGGACATCCCGGTTTGATTGGTCTGATTGGCCCTCCAGGAGAACAGGGTGAAAAGGGTGACAGGGGTCTTCCTGGTCCACAAGGAGCTCTCGGACCCAAGGGCGATGCAGTTAGTAAATTATACCTTTGTTTCTATTTAATTGCTTGTATAAGTTTATTCTGTCTGCCAAGGCAAGAAGAAGAGAATTTGAATTCTAAAACCTTTTGCACAGATCTTTTAGATGAGGAGCCTTTAAATTACAGCAGCAGCAGCACATAGAATCTTCATTCAGGAATGAAGGTCCCATTGTTCTAGGTGTTGTACAAATGTTTCATAAAGCTAAAGAGGTTAGAATCTAGCTGAACAACAAGAGTCACTGTGTGGATGAAACAAACAGGTGGAGAACATGGACACAGCAGTTTGCTCAACATTTTCATGTATACTAGCTGTACTCACAATGTAGCTCATAACCCATCTGGCTTTTATCCATTGGCAGTATTCTGTATGCATGTGACACAGAATTCTGTGTCAAAAATAGGCCTTAAGGAGGATTTGACAGTGGATGGGGGAGTGGCTTTATGAAACTGGGGGGATGAGTAGAAAAAAACAGAACTCAAATTGTCATGTCATGTTGTTAATCACTGGCTTTATGAAATTGGGGGGGATGAGTAGAAAAAAATAGAACTCAAATTGTCATGTCATGTTGTTAATCATAGAACAGGATCTATATCATTAAGATGGCTCAAACTATACATAGAACTACTCTGTAGGTACACTTGACATCTCATTGTCCCAGTCACTGTTGCTTGGTATAGCAGAAGCTGTTCAGCTAGAATAATAATTTTCTGCTTATTCTTCTTTAGGGCATTTCTGGTCTCGCTGGTCCACTTGGCCCCCCTGGTCCTCCTGGCTTACCTGTAAGTAATTACATCCTAAGTGTTTTGACAAATGTTGTTCAGTTCAATATATTCTCATCCTAGCCTGAGTACAATTCAGTGTAACTGTGTCCATTGTCCTCTAGGGTCCTCAAGGTCCAAAGGGTTCCAAAGGATCAACTGTAAGTAACTTCTGTCCAGATGTGTTTAGTATTTTCCCTTGGAGTTAGTGTTTTTCTTTAAAAACTCTCTGTTGTTTTGTTTTTCAAGATTGTTAAGTTAGTGTTTCTTTCTCTGGTTTATAGGGTCCTGGTGGTCAGAAGGGTGATGGTGGTTTACCTGGTCCCCCGGGTCCTCCCGTGAGTAAAATCACTTATTTGACAATGCATTCAGTTATGCCTGCTCTACACTAGGGATAAGGTTGAATTAAGATAAGCTACGCAATTAATGTAGCTGAAGTTGCATAAGTCGAAGCATCTTAACTCGAATTTTGGTGCCCTCCACACTGTGGGAAGTCGAAGGGAGCATACTCTCCCTTCAACTTCCCTTACTCCTCACAGAAGGGGGCTACCAGCATCGACAGGAGTGCCCCCTCAGTTCTAATTAGTGTGTCTTCACTAGACCTACTAATTCAAACCCTGGAAGATCAATTGCGGGCTGCTTCAATCTTATTTATCTGTACTGTAGACATGGCCTATGTGGTCCACTCCAAATGATCCTGTTTTGTAATCCTGGCAGGTAGGACTTTGGAAAGCTGAAGAAAAGGAATATGTTAGAGCTGATTCGAAATTTTCAAAACAAAAAAAAGGAAATGCAATGCCTCTGACAAAAACTCATTCTGAAACAAAAATCTGAAGGGAGGGAACCCCTTCTAGTTGTAGAACATAACATTTTGATTTTCCATTTCTTGAGTTTATAAAATGCAAAAAGTCAAAATCAAAGTGAGACATTGATTTCCTTGAAATGGAACATTTTGTTCAATCTAAAATGCAACTGTTGGTGGAATTTTGGTTCTCCAGAAATTTTAAATATTTTTAGTTTAATTCTAGAGTGTGAGCATACCAAGAAACTGTCTGCCTAAGCTTGTTTCCCAGGTGCACTGGGACAAACAATCCCAGAACTGCATCTATTTTGGAAGGCAACTTAGTGTTCTCCAAGTGGTTGGCCCATGCCTGCCTCTTCTCTGCTGCTTTTGAAGCGTTGTGGACCTATTGGGGAGCAGGGATAATTCATTCCCCACTCTTTTCTGATTGTGGATTTCTGGATTATGATTTTGCTCCATATGATCCTTCTCTGTTCCCATAGGGTATGTCAACACAGTAGGGCTATTTCGAGATACCCGAAGTGTCCTGAAATAACTACCCCGTGACTTTTGAACACACCTGGTATTTCAGGATAGGTCTTGAAATAGCAAATGCGCTATTTCAGCATCCTTGTAACTCTCAAGGGTTAAAAGATGTCTCAAAATAGTGGCTGTGTAGGTGCACCAAATTTCAAAATATGCTATTTTGAAATTCAATCTGAAATTTCATATCTTATTTTGAGTTTAGGGTGCAGTGGGCCAGACAGAATCTCTCTCTCTCTCTTTCTCTATTTCATCAACACTTGGCCAAAGAAACAAAAATCACCAATAAAATAAAATAAAATAAAATAAAATAAAATAAAATAAAAAGTAGTCAGGCCATTTAAACCACTTACAACCAGACTTCCTATCTATCAATCTCTTTATGCATCTGGGAAATAAAAAGAAAAGGCAACCAAATTATGTGTTGTGCTTTACAGGGTCCCCCAGGGGAAGTTATCCAGCCTTTGCCAATCCAGTCACCCAAAAAGACAAGAAGATCTTCAGATTACATGCTTGCTGATGCAGTTGATAACATCCTGGACTACTCTGATGGCATGGAGGAAATCTTTGGTTCACTCAATTCCCTGAAGCAAGATATTGAGCATATGAAGTATCCAATGGGCACTCAGACCAACCCAGCCCGAACATGCAAAGACCTACAACTCTGCCACCCAGACTTCCCAGATGGTATGTTTAATATTACATGACAAAGGAAAATGGGCTGAGGTTATAATTTACTAAGATATACTGTCAGCTCATTAATTCTAGTTATATGGTTAATATAGTCTCCAAATAAAAGCAAAGAAAATGTTCATTAAATCCATTCTTGCAGGCAAAAAAAGCCATTTATAAACATGGTGTATTTAATTTCAACTATAGATATTCTGTGTCTGTAAAGCAAGAGTTCATTACATATGCAATACAGTTAGTTTAGTTTTAGATTTACAGCTTTTACAAATTGTGTTATAAAAAGCATATTAGCAAGGAAAGAAATAAAAGTTTAAATGTTTATTTGGAAAGGTAGTTTTTGCATTTTACTAAGCCACATTTTCCAAAGAACAGAGGGTGATGTCTTTGTGCCTTTGAAATCAATGGGAACATAAAACCAGATTTAATAATATACATTTTCCAAAGAACAGAGGGTGACGTCTTTGTGCCTTTGAAGTCAATGGGAACATAAAACCAGATTTAATAATATCCAGATTTCACCCGAAAGATATAAGTATTTTATTGGTGGATGGCGGGGTGCAACAATATTAATCCAGAATTTTAAAAAACAATCAGAGAGTTGTATAGGACATTACTGAGTACTGTTCACAGTACATTCCTCCATAATTCTTTCACCCTAGTACTTTTTGGCATGAAGGTTTAATAAAGTGCATAGTCATAAATCAGGCAGTGTTTCAGACAAATATCTTTGTATATTTATTCATTTAAACTATGCTTCCTCCCTGGTAAGCTTTAAATGAAGGCTAACTTTCATATAGCTCTCCTGCCTTTATATTTCCTCTATTATAATGTATATTTCTCCCCATTCAAAATAATTTTGTCACATTTTAAAATGAGAGCAAAAATACATTTTGACAATTTAATAATACTTATTGCTTTCACTCTAGACACATAAAAACAGATGGTTGCCTGGAGGAACAGTTAAGAAGTGAATGCACTGTATGAAAAGTAAATAATTTACAATTCAGTACCTCCATTATAAAGACTATCTTTTATAGAAAGTCTCTGACTTCTTCATTTACCAGTATTTATCTATTATTTGGAGCTTTTGTTTTAATATGAATGAGGGTTTAATTTGGTTAAAATAAAAGTGAAAACATTTATTTCATTACAAAGCTCTTGGGAGTAGGGAGCTAGCTGTCAGGACTGTCTGAATAAAGAATGCTTAAACGGCTGTAGCTATTATCACAAATATCATACATACATACATTCTTTTGTTCCATACTTTACGTTCAGGAGACAGTGAAAGGATTGGTAATGCATATCTTCTAGAAACCTGCACTTTGGCTAGCATTTGGACTAGGATGATAATTACTGAAAACCATTGCTATTTGCTGTCCTGCCAATAAGGTGGTATTAGCTGGTGGTATTAGTCAACACCAAGAAAACACCATTATAATTAGAATGATCGATAGCAGTCACCTAAGAGACTGACATTTGAATGGTCCTGGGACTGACTAGAGCATTTACCCCTCAGCCATTATCTACATTGGAATTTCTAGGACTTATAAGAGGGATAGCAGAAAAGGCTCAGACAGGTCCAAGTGTTTTTGTCATTATGTTATCTAACCAGCCATTGTGATGATGCTTTTTCTATCAGGAAACAGCTGGGCTTCCTCTACAGCTGCAGCTTCAGAGTTAGGCAACATAGTGGTAAAATGACTGAATCTGAGGCTTATCTTCATTTCCACCAGAGCTACCTGTGGAGATATGTAAGTTAGGATATAAAAGCAGGGACAATGACTCTGGTCTCAGCATATACCAGCAACAGAGGTGGAGAAATAAGCTGAATTCTATGGAGGTATGCATTAGGAGGCACCCTGTTTCTACGCACCTGCCGTTTCTGACATGCCCCCTGGTGTGGCTTTACAGCTCTGCACCACCCTTAACACAGGGCTGTCCCTAAACATCACACTCCGGCCTAGGCTCTTTTCGGATGTAGCCTGAACATGTTTTCTGGTTGCTTTTATTTCAACATTTTGAAATATCAGGTTCTGACTTTTCTTTAACTAGAGAATCTGGATGTTGAAGTCCCAGGAGACAGACATATAAAACATACTGTTTCTGTTCATTGGGGTCTCTCTCTCAGAGCTCTGCCTCAGATTTCAGCCTCCTGTGGTATCATTCACCAGTTCTGCAAAAGACTTACTAAAGTCCTTCAGCAAACAAAGGCAGTCATGACCTAAAGTAAAATACAAGCTAAAATTTTTAAAAAAAAGACTGAGTCTGGTTTCATCCTTCATAAAGAAGCAATAAAGGCAATGACATAAAGGAATTGTTTTTGTTTCCCCATCTTTACAGCTAAAATTTTTAGAGCAGCATCAGATGGCAGTGAAATATGACTTCCAAATAAATCATTATCTTAAGTAAAACCTCTCTCATTTGTTTTAGGTGAATATTGGATTGATCCTAATCAGGGCTGCTCTGGAGACTCCTTCAAAGTGTACTGTAATTTCACAGCAGGTGGTGAAACTTGCATCTACCCTGATAAGAAATCTGAAGGAGTAAGTACCAATCTGTGTTTTGGGTTGACGTCTGACAGATCGTGCCGTGTTGTTGCAATATTGAACTAAATAGGAAAATTATACTGTCACATTTTCATTTGCCTGTTTTCTTACAGGATAATTAATGCATTTCACTTGCATAAACAAGACAAAGGCAATGAAATGATAAAGAAAATTTAAAAATAGCCATTTTTGCCCCCTTTTGCTCAGATGCACTTTTTTATTCACCTGCTTACTAACGCAGTGTCTCCTGCAGGCCAGGACATGACACGGCTATTTACCCTTTTCTAATGAACATGGAGTTCAGTCTGACACATACAAGATAGATAAACTGTACTGTCTGATTCTCCACTGTCTTGCCTCTGGTGATATCATTTATACCTGAACAAAGTGGCTGAAAAACACTGTTATTAACTGAGAGTGTTTCACACCCATGAGTATGAATGGCTGCCTAAAGTGCAACCAGTGAAGAAGACGGCTCCCATAAACCCTATCTAGATGAGGGATATAAATCAATGTAGTCATACCAGGGCAAATCTTAATTAATCCAAACTGGTTCAGTGTACCTCAATAACTTATCTGAATTAATCTCAAGTATCACTGCTACATACTCTGTACACCTTATGAACAGAAATTATTCTGTCATCTTTAATTCGATTCAGTTGGCCTGAAGCAATTAATTTGCAGGCATTTTATCTCTGTCTAAGCAAAGTATCCAGTTTTGGAGAATTAAATAAATCAAATGTAGATGTGTCTCTGCATAGCTCCAAAGGCCACTTAAAATAGGTTGATATCCCACAAGGAAAATGTATTTTGCATTTAAATGCGTTCTTTTTTCTAACTAATGGAGTAAATACTCACAATCTCTGCTCCTTTACAACAGGTCAGAATTTCATCATGGCCAAAGGAGAATCCAGGAGCCTGGTTTAGTGAATTTAAGAGAGGCAAACTGGTAAGTAGTCACCTCAATGTATGAGTCACAAACAACGTTAGCCAAGTAATTCTGACTATACAATGCAGAAAGGATCAAGTAATTCTGACTATACAAGTCACAAGCCAAGTAATTCTGACTATACAATGCAGAAAGGAATTTGTGCAACCTCAACCTTTTCCCCTTTAAACATAAAGGCCTGTAAGTAATCTCTTTCACATTGGACAGCAAGAACTTGTCCTGTGCTTTTCTATTTATCATGCTTCAAATGTACCAAAACTGCCAGTGGTTAACTGCAGAGCAGACAAATGCATTGTGGCAGCTCTCGCACCACCACCAACCTTCTGCAGAGTAGCTTAAGTGCAGCTCCCCATGCTCAATCCCAGGTAACTGCAGACAGGCTGCAGCATCGTTTATGCATATTCAGTACAACAGACATAACCGAATCTATGTCCCAGAAGAATTGGCTATTACAGGTTGAACCTCTGGCATAGTCATGGACTCAGGATCGCCCACCGGGATATTGGTAATGGGTGCCAAGATCCTCTTTGTCCCCTCCCCCCACATCTCTCGCATGCTAGTATTCCCGCACTTACCAACTCCCCCCCTCCCCCAGCATTTCCAGAGTGCCACAAATCAGCTGTTTGTGGTGCTCAAGCTCCAGAAAGGAGGGAGAGGAGTGGAGATGGGACTTGTTCAGGAGAGCATGCAGGGAAGAGGTAGGATGGCTGTGGAGCCCCTGGCTGGAGCCAGGAGCAGAGCCATGCAGACAGCATCTGGGACCTGGTGCCAGCAGCTGGGACCCAGAGCAAAGGGCCAGTGGCCTGGGTCTGGGACCAGCCACTGGGACCCCCAATGAGGGACCTGAAGATGAAACATCAGGCAGCAGCAGAGGGGCTTATGGCTGTGACATGAGGCTAGCATTGCAGCCCCCAAGCAAGGGGCCATCCTGGGCACAAAGTTTGGGGGTGCTGCAGCCTCCCCCCTCTGTACCTCATTCTTCCCTGCCTATGGAGAGCCACTGGCACTCTTCATTTACCTCCCTTAGTCCAACAAATTCTCTGGTTCAACACCAGTCAGGTCCTAAGGATGCCAGACTAGAGAGTTTCAACCTGAATGGACATGATTCTCTTTATCTTGCAGTAGGTTGCAGCTAAATATATGTAGTTGTTTGTCACAATTCCTGGTGCAAAGTGAAAACCTGTTTACTGATTCATAGCTTGATTATGCTTTAAAATCTAACACTGATGATTTAGAATGTATCAGCTATTTTTTACATTAAAGTCTGTTAATGAGATTCTGTGTCAACCAGAATTTTCTGGTTTAAAATTTAAGAGAAGGAAGCAACCAAATGTTCATGTGCCTACTTACATTTTCCAGCTTTCCTATGTGGACGTTGAAGGCAATTCCATTAATATGGTTCAAATGACATTCCTTAAACTACTGAGTGCCTCTGCCAGACAAAATTTCACTTACAACTGTCATCAGTCAGTAGCTTGGCATGATGTGTCATCTGACAGCTACGACAAAGCACTGAGGTTCTTAGGATCAAATGACGAAGAGATGTCTTATGACAACAATCCTTACATCAAAGCTCTTCATGATAGCTGTGCAGTAAGTATAGGCTCCAAATATTCTTCTCTATTTTAATATGACAGGTGAGCTTAGTAGTCAAACTAGTTCATTCTTACGCTGGTTTGCTTCCGTGAAAAGCTCTGAAGATTTTGTTTTTAAAATTTTAATTACATTGAATTAGTCATTTCTTTAAATTTCATAAATGTATCAAAAATATTAAACATAATGTAAGCAATAGCAAAGAAAAGTTTGGCATGAATGCATGCTGTTAGTGCCAGTGTGTTGAAATTAACTGTTTTGCTATTGTAAGTGTTATGTAAGACAAAAGCAATGGAAAATGAGCATTATGAAAGGCAGCATTGCACTGGTAATATGTGTTAACTTGAAATCAGTTAATGAAAGGGAAAAACACAAAGGGTACGTCTACACAGCAACATTATTTTGAAAAAAAGGGAAAAACACAAAGGGTATGTCTACACAGCAACATTATTTTGAAATAACTAGCATTATTTCAAAATAACTTAGTCCATGTCTACACAGCGCGCAGTTATTTCGAAATAATATTGAAATACTGTCAAGCTGGAGGACTTCTTACTCCAACTCCTGTGTAATCCTCATTGCCCGAGGAGTTGGAGGAAGAGTGCTCTGTTTTGAAATAAGTTCTGTGGAGATGCTCCCAATTTCAAAATAAGCTTTTTTTAAATAAGCTATACAATTGACGTAGGTCAATTTGCGTAGCTTATTTCTAGTTAAGCCCTGCTGTGTAGACGCAGCCAAAGTGAATATAATAAAAATTTGCTTCAGAGAGCTGTACTTCATATATTCACAGTGTCTACACAGCAATTCCATTATTTTGAAATAAATTCAAAATAACCGATGGCTTATTCCAACGTCTGTAAACCTCATTCCACTGGGAATAATGCCTATTCCAAAATAGCAATTTCAAAATAGCTGTAGTGTAGACACTCCACTGCTGCTATTTCAAAATAGCTCCTCCCCAGGGCCATTCAAACTAATTACTCCCCACTGCCTCCTGGGGCTCTAAATCGAGGCAGCACATCCACATTAGGGAAGCCTGCCTTGGATTATTTTGAGGCTTTCCTGTAGTGTAAATGTGCTATTTTGAAATAAGTTATTATGGAGTATTTCTTCCAGAATAGCTTATTTCAAAATAAGTGTGCAATGTAGATGTACCCTAAAAAAAGAGCAGAACTCAAGCCAAAGTAAAGTGCATAGATTATATCCTGGCCACTTCTTCCAGCTTCTCTATTGTCACTTGGATTATTACATACATACACCAGCTATCTGATTATCTCTCCAACAAGGTACTGGGCCCATTCAGGTTTATCAGATGTTCGCGTCTTGCCTCAAAAGTCATGTTTCAATGCTGAATATTTTGCCCTTTGTTTTCTGGACACCTACATATGATACTTCATACCATTTACACCTGACTGATCATTGAGTTTCTGTGATATTTAAGCATCCTCTCTATCAATGCCTTTGTTTAGAGACAATTACAGAGGAGGTTATGATTAATAGCGTAGAGCAATACCTGAAGTCCTTGGGTAACCTACAGCTTTTCCCATCTGCATTAGACTGGGTTGTGAGCAGAGGTGAAAATGGGTTGGTACAGACTGGTATAGCACACCAATAAGAAGTGGCTACTGGCATTGGCCCATACTTATGTTAAAGCTTTGCCCCTTTTGTTACACCCTACTCTCCATTGTTGGCCCTGTTGGTAGGGTCTGGCAGCTCTGTTGACGGGTCAGCAAATGGGACAACCCATTGATTTAAAGGGGTGTGGGGCTCCCAACTGTCACTACCACAGCAGCAGCAGCCAGAGCACCAGCCCTTCCAAATCACCACCCAAGCACAGGAGCTCCTGCTGCCACTGCTGCAGTCCCGGGCTCCTGGCCCCCGACTGCAATGGCAGCTGTGAAGGGCTGACTATGGGGGTCTGGCTGGGATACAAAGACATTGCTAGTGTAGTTGGTCAGGGGTCTCTTGTTGGCAGTGGATCATGTTTAGTATGGATTCTTTTACATCTATTTTGATGCAGTATACCAGCAGGGTTCGCACACGTGTGAAATCTGGCAGAGTTTGGTAGAATGGTGCTCAACTGGCTGCGTTCTTTTTTTCTGCAGACAAACACTACTGTTTTGTTTGTCTGACAGAAGTCTTCTCCTGATGGAGTACCATAGCATTCTATTCTATAACTGCGTCTCTTCCATGTGTACCTCTCTTCCTAGTTATGTTAGGGCTTTTGGTGAGGAGGCTTGTGTAGCTTCTGTTATTGTGGCATCTGTATGTGGAACTCTTGGGAGAAGTAGTGAAATGGTTTGGGGGTACAGTGCCATTCATAAGCTCACAACACTAAAATGTATGTCTCTTTTTATCATAGCCTGATGTGGCATTCTCTCAACTTTCTCAGTGTTTCCTCTCAGATGGGGGGATTGATGAGGGAGTAAGATCACAGAAGATCACAGAAGCTCAAGATATTGCTTTGGTTGGCTAAAATAACATAGGAGATGATGAAGCTGACATCTTCTCCCACAATTAACAGGGGTTCCCCTTTTTTAAAATAAACCGAGGTGTACAATCTAGCAATAATAGCAGAGATCTGCCTGTTTAGAATTTCCAGCTAGCTGCTGTAGCACTTTGTAAGGAGGTTACAGCCTTTGTCCTGGGAAGTGCACAGTATCTCAGTTATTGTCCCCAGACCGGATTACTGGCCTCTTCATGAGGGTGAAATCTCCACAGTCCCCCAAAATATACTCACCAGCTACTGCATTAGTACTCAGGATTCTCCAAGGGACTTTAAAATTCTCATAGATTTTTCCAGTGAGAGGACCTATTTTAGCCCAGAGCTTTTTGTGATGTTCAATCACTTTCTCTTTTAAAAAAATCAGCGGTTCCACATTTGCATTTTTAGAAGATAAAAATAATTTTCAAAAAAAGAAAAGAACTCAAAACCATCTTATTAGGAACATCTGGCATTAGTGCATACTGTTCAGTACACGGGAGGCCAGTTATGTATAATTACAGTACATATTGTAAAGTTAATTTGTGAAAGATCTATAACATTGCAGCTTTTATGTATAACCATTTTTTAATTTTCTTTTGCCTTTTTCTTTTCACAGTCAAGAAAAGGCTATGGAAAGACTGTCATTGAAATCAATACACCTAAAATAGACCAAGTGCCTATTGTTGATGTGATGATTAATGACTTTGGTGACCAGAACCAGAAGTTTGGATTTGAAGTTGGTCCCGTCTGTTTCCTCGGTTAAGTATAGGGCAGTTGAGCAGATCGGCAAACAAGTTGTGTCTTGGTGCCACCAACCCACTTCATGCCACATGCAAGTTTTGATTAAGGATGGCATAGAAAAAATGTCTTGCTGGGTACGTATGTCTTATCTAGGAAATATTCGTTGCCCTTGTAGGGCCAGAATCACATGACTTAAACTTATTTGGCAAATCATGAGGACATAAAAGGGTGTGGCAGAGACAGACAACATAGGATTAACTTTATGAATATTCCCTTTGGATTTCTTGGTGCTGTAAAAAATGAATGGTGCTCCTTCCATTTCAACAAAGAGGTGCTAAGGAGGTGTGTTTAATAAATTGTAATTATTCTATGTACAGTACTATACTGTTTTTTCTGTGTCCATTTCCAAAACTTGCATGTGTCTCTGAATTGCATCTGGCTCTTATTTTATAATTGCAAAACTATGTTGTCAATACTGTGTATGTATTATGAAAAATAAAGCTGTAATTTCCAGTGAACCAATTTAAATTTTCTGATTAATAATAAAGTCCCTTTGTATATATTTATGTTGAAAAGCTCTGTTATTTGAAGTCGCCAACAAAACTTCAGGTGGCAAAAACTGGAAAATCTTTTGGCAAGACGCTCAAAACAACACTTCTTTGTTAATATTACTTTGTGATAATGAATTTCAAGAAAGAATGCACCCACCGAGGTGCTGTATTCCATGGTGCTATTACCTCAGACTTTTTTTTTTCCTTTTCAGATTCCAGAATTTCTTAAGATACCTGTATATACCTAAAAATAAGCAAGTTCATATTTTGGGTGGAGGAAATGTGTATGACAAATGGGGGGGAGTATGTGCAGAGATCTGTTTAAGTCTATGTGAAGTAACTTGTAGTTATAGTTATCCTTTTTAAAAATCTCATCTGAATTTGTTTTCATTGTGCTTCTTTGAACTATATAAATATTAAAACTTGATTCAAAACAACTATTTATGGATTTGTGCAGTGTTTACATAGCTTTTATTTGATCAATGATGAATATTTGCTTCTGAACTGGATACTAAGTTCCACATGATAGCCCATATATTATTTGCCCATCCCATCAATATGAATTCTCTGTTATTTCAAGTTAAGGCCAGGGACACAATATGTCTAGGTCATGTGATTCTACCTAGTTGCAAAGCAAAGTACAAGGGGACTACTACCTACAGAGCTTGTTTTCTGACCCAAACTGTTATAATTTGCAATCCAAATCTCGCAAAAAGTTTGGTTTGGCCTTTCAGCTAAACTTTTTTTTTTCAGGTAGTACGGAGTAGAAATCACATTTTAACTTTAAAACGCAAATCCTTTTGTAATTATTTTTCATAATATATGTAAGACTTGAAAATAAATGTTTGTTACTATTTCTTATATAAATTGTTAAATTAATTGGTACCAGATTCCACTGCCTCATTCCAACTGATATTTAATACATGTAAAAGTGAGATTTCAAAAGTCAACCTTTTGCTGTTCAGAATTTCTTTTATTTTTGAACCAAAGTTTGTAACTGTCACCTCAAAGAGGAAAAATATGGATTTTATTAATAAAATCAAGTCTTGACTACCTGGGCTGGTCAATCTGTTTCTTCAAACTACAAGAAATATTCATTTTCAGAAGGGTAATGGTAATGCTTCCAGACCATCCAAAATCAAAAAATATTACTCTATACACAGCCAAGCACTACAAAGGCATCATGATCAGAGGTATTCATATCTAAGGTCCCAGTCCTGCCATGGATAACTTGTACAGAGCCCCGTTAAAGTCAATGGGTGTTTGTGTAGTCCCAACAGTCTGCCTATGTGCCACTAACCACCAAATTGGGCTCTCAACTCCTTTTCACAGCCTTTATCCGTATTTTATGATCCCCATAGCCACCTGAGCACCTTGCAGTCTTCAATGTATTTATCCCCACAAGCCCCCTGAGGTAGGGAACGTGCAATTATTCCCGGAAAAACTTGCCAGCTGTCTACACTGGCCGTTTGAATTTCCGCAAAAGCACTGACTTCCTACTGTAAGAAATCAGTGCTTTTTGTGGAAATACTATGCTGCTCCCGTTCGGGCAAAAGTCCCTTTTGCGCAAAACTTTTGTGCAAAAGGGCCATTGTAGACAGCTGAGATTTGTTTTGCACAAAAAAACCCCGAAGGCAAAAATGGCAATCGGGGCTTTTTTGCGGAAAAGCGCATCTAGATTGGCACGGACGCCTTTCCTCAAAAAGTGTTTTTGCGGAAAAGCGTCCGTGCCAATCTAGATGCTCTTTTCCGCAAATGTTTTTAACGGAAAACTTTTCCGTTAAAAGCATTTGCGGAAAATCATGCCAGTCTAGATGTAGCCATGGAGAGCTAAGGCACAGGGAGGCTACGACTGCCCAGGCTCAGGTAGGGTACCTGTGGCAGAGAGGAAACTGAACTTGGGACTTCTACAGCCTGTGTAAGCTCCCCCATTACTAAACTAAATTTCATCTCTCTAATCTGAAAAATAGAAAACTGTGCAAAAGCAGCTCATCAAATATACTGAATATTTTAGATGTGTAGATAGAAAAGAAGAGGAACTCTCTCCCCCTAGGTTTTGCGTATCATCTATGGGAAAATTCATGTGCCTTACTACTTAATCTTGATAATATCAGAATCACTTTGTACAAGCTCCATACAACGATTCAACATTATTGAACACTATACATAGGACATTGTCACTTTGTACAAGCTCCATACAACAATTCAACATTATTGAACACTATACATAGGACATTGTGCTCAGCAGAAGAAAATTTTGATTGAAATTGCACTTAAGTGTCTCTGGAAAGTGAGAGTGTCTAGCTATGCAGACAAGACATAGGAGGTATCAAGTGATGCTAGGTCTACAAAATAATCTCAAAAACTGTGTACATTTCCAAGCAAAAACAGGCCAGTAAGTTCCAGACCTGTAATTAACAGTCTGTGTAATCATAAACAGGCTTAAAAATTGCTTAGTGCCTTCTAGATTTTGCATCAAAGAGCTGGCAAAAGCAACTTGCAGAATGTTTGGAATCTCACAATACCCATGAATAGCATAAGACTGGAATTCTCCCCCAGTGGTGGAATGCAGTTTTTGTTGAAGGGCCTGGTTTGATCTTCTCTTTAAATATAAAAACTTTAAAAAAAAACCAATGACTAGATCTGCAGCACCTAAGAGACTACCAAAAAAATGTAGATGGTATCATGAGCTTTCATGGGTACAACCCACTTCTTCAGAAGAATAGAGTAAGGGCTCCAGTTTTTTGTAGAAAGGTTCCTTGGGGCAAGGAAGTGCTGGTATAGCTGCACTAAAGTAGAGTGAAAACTTTAACATATTCCAGAAAAATCATGATTGGCTGTGATCAGCTGTTTCTGAGGGATAAGTTCCATCTATGATGTCATCTTAAATTGTAAAATATAAGGTTCCATTCCTCCACCCACAGTCTCACTGAACCACTTATTCCATGAGTAGTCTCTCCACCTACCCTTTCAATGGGGTAAGGTACTCAGTAAGGGTTTGTCTACACTACAGCGTTAATTGAAGTTAACTTAATTCGAAATAGTTAATTCAAATTAAGCTAATTCGAAATAACGCATCTATACACAAAAACTATTTTGAAATAGCGCATCCACGAGTGGATCCTGAACCGAAGTTAAGGCTGGCCGGAACCAGTGCCGGCAGGGCAGCAGGTTAGGACTTAGTGCGGGGGGCTGCAGCCTGAGGGTTACTGAGCTCCATGCTTAAAGGGACCCTACCCCCATCCCAGAAGACAGTTCTCAGGGTTCCCTGCTTGCTTGTCTACCTCAATGAGGGACAGCAAAGCAGTCCTGTCTTGGAATGCCCTGAGTGCCCGTACTCGGGACACCACAGCACTTGGCTACATGGAGCCAGAGCTGCCTCTGGGAATGCCGGTGCATCTCATGGGGTTGTTGCCATCAGCCCGGCTGCACTTGCTGCAGGCTGCCATCTGGGGGGTCCATCGGGAGGTTGTCAGGATCCAGGAGGCCCTGCGGGAGAGCGCCCACCCCGAGGAGCCTTCAGAGTCTTCCGGTCCTCCCCACAGGGGGCTTGTGCCCCATTCCTCCCTCACGTCCTTCCACTTACTCCTCCCTATGTAAAGTGCTACATAGTCCTGTTTTTTGTTTCCGCTAGACCAGACTAACACAGCTACATTTCTATCATTACCCCTCCCACCCATCCTTCCTGATGTCAAATAAAATACACTTTTTTTCAAAAATAGAAACTGGGTTTATTGAATAAAACTAGGGGAGATGAACCTCTGGGGAGACTGGGAAAAGGAGGCAGGAGGAAAGAGGGTGGGAGAGGGGAGGGGGAAAACTGGGAGGAGGGAGCTGGAAAGGAGAAGCAAGGGGAGGAAGGGGGAGTGGAAGCTCAGCGCACAGGGGTGGGGGTCTCGTCGGGCCACATGTCTCCCAGCACTGCAGGTGCGGGGGCCTCGGCGTCCTATCCCTGGGAGGATAGAAGGAGGGTGTGGAGGTTGAGGTGGGGTGTGTGGAGATTGAGGAGGAGGGTGAGGAGGTTGAGGAGGGAGAGGCGGGAGGGGGAGAAGAAGTGGGAGGAGGAATGGTAGCTGGGGGGGCAGCAGGCGCTGTCTGGAATGCCCATTCTTCCTGTGCCCGCTGCTCCATGATGCGGGTCAGGGCTTGCAGGACCCCCAGCTGCTGCTCTCGGTACCCCTGCAGTGTAGTGGTCATCCTGCAGAGACCTCGGGTACGGGAGCATGTCCCGGACGGGGTGGTGCGCCCTGCACATGCAGCTGGTGCAGCTGTGGAGAAAGAAGAGAAGTGGTTAGTTCTCCCTGGGGACACTGTGGGTGAAGCCCAGCCCCCCTCTGTGAGGTGAGGATGACCGTACCCTGCACCGTCAGAGCTGCTGTGCTTGTTTGCATAGAATGTCTGGCTATCCCAGGGTGTGGAAGCTGCCCCGAGACCACACCCAGACCCCTATGCTGTGTATAGTGCAGCCGAGGTGGGGGGGCAGATGTTAAGGGGGCTTGTGAAGGGAGGGCATCCTGCTGTGTCCCACCCCGGGGTCACGAGCATGTCAGGTCTCTTCACACACACGTGTGGCTATCAGGCCACAGCCCTTGTGTGGCACGCAGCTGGAGCCACTTGCCCAGGGGTTGCGGCACGTGTTCAAACGTGCACAGGTTGCTGAGTGATCCATGGTAAGCAAGGCCCTGTGGGCCGGGCACTTAGGCCGCGAAAAAATGGAGCAACGCATCATCCAAAGGTTCTTTTGGCCCGGAATCTACAGGGAGGTTAGGGAATTCTGCGAATCCTGTCCCGAGTGTCAGCGTGCCAATCTACAGCCAGCCCCTAAAGCAGGTATCTTCCCCTGCTGAGGAGCTGCCCAAAGTGGCCCTGGCGTACCCCTGCCGCAGCTCTTTAATTTTCACCTCCTCCTGGGTGCTCCTGTGGCCTTTCTGGGCCATGGTGGCAGCTATGTGGCCATAGACGGCTGCATTCCACCATCTAGTGCAGAGATCATGGACATTGGGGGCCTGCGCCCAAACCTCAGTGAGGTCCATGATCTCCTCACTAGTCCAGGAGAGAGTGCGGTGTCTATGACCCCTGGCTGGCTCCTGGGTGTTGGGGGACTGGGCGGGGGATGGCAGGCTGGCACTGGTTGCCCGGATCATGGTGGGGCCACTGGGTCGGGACAAAGACTGCTGGCAGGCCTGGATCTGGCACATGCAATCTGGCCAGAGTCTACCCCTTTAAGGGCTCCGGGGCTGGGGGAGAGGAAAGGAGTTTTCCTGGTTTGGCCCAGAGTGACCACCAGGGGAAATTAGGAAGGGCTGGAGGCCAGCTAAATCAAATTAAGTGTCTACACAGCACTTATTTCGAATTAGCTATTTCGAATTAGGCGTTACTCTTCGAAGAATGAGGTTTACCAAATTCTAATTAAGCGCTCCGCTATTTTGAATTAAATTTGAAATAGTGGTTTGCATGTATAGATGCTATTAAAGTTAATTCGAAATAACGGTTGTTATTTCGAATTAACTTTGCAGTGTAGATATACCCTAAGGTTCTATGGAGCATGGCTAGGAGTAGTAAAATTAGGGATCATATTTCATAATATGACAACACAAACAATCAGTTTTATGAAATAGAAGACCTCTAACATAGATTCATTTACTTTTCAGAATGCTCTTTTGCTCAGTTAGTAGCTTATGGGTTACAAACAACTCTTTCAAAGGCAAACAGGAATCAAGAACCATGTTTAACTATTCACTTCCATAAGATCCCTCTATAACTGGATATTTAAGAGCATATTTTTTTGTAAAATGATGTCCTTAATGTTTATCATTTTGAAAACAAGTCTAATATTCTACACTGCACTAGAGCCACCCAACACTGTAAAATGAATTTTCACATATCATTGTTCAAAACTTTTTGTAACTTGAAACAGGCGTCAAAAAATATATGTACGTGTGTTCATAGTTTAAAATTAGGCGTAGAAGAGTCCAAGAGCGAATGGTGGAGTCCCATAGTCCTGGTACCCAAACCGTTCTATGGAGCATGGCTAGGAGTAGTAAAATTAGGGATC